TCTTTTTTTAACCATCAAAATTTTAACACCCACTGAGGCAGGATCAGGATACAGACCGGGAAAGGAGAGCACATGACCTGACTGCTGTAATCCTGCATTCTAGATTTTAAGTGAGTTGGACAATTGAGCATACACACAAATATTCACATACATTCACGCTCGCACACTATACACACACACAATACATACATAATCCATGCATGCACACACTGCACATATATGTAAGCACATATGTGTGTGCATATGTTGTGTACGATGCATGTGTGTATTTTATATATTTCAGTGCGGATCACCAAGGGAACTACTCATTCATTCAAGAATACTTCTTGAGTAACCATAAGTCAAGCCTGTAATGAAATAAAGATTTGTTTAGTCTTCTCCTGCTCACACTGATAGCCACTAGCCACAGGCGGCTACTTATATTTAAATGTAAATTAATTAAATACAATTAAAAGGTCAGTTCCTCCAATGTACTAGCCGCATTTCACGTGCTCACAAGCCACCTGTGGCTAGTGGCTGCTACTGTAGACAGGCAGATACAGAACATGTCCATTGTTGCACTTCTTTTTGGACAAGAGAATCCTATGGCTGTGTATAGCTGATCAACAGTCAAGAGTGTTTACTAAAGGCCAGGAACTATTCACAAGCTCTTTACATATAGTAACTCATTTCATTTTCATATTTATTATCTGCCCTCATTTTACAGATGAAGAATCTGAGGCATTGAGAGGTTAAGTAATTTGCCCAAGGAAACAAAGCTATCAAGCAGTGGAGCCAGGATTTCCAATACAGACATTTCTTACATATCAGCTCCGAACAGTAGAGTGTCCCACTGGACAAAGCACAGCCTGCACCGCCTTTTATCATCTAGTCCTGGAAGCTGCACGGTATCATTTCCACCAGACCTTATTGGTGAGGCAGTCACAATCCCAGCCAGATTCAAGGAGGGGGCAGAGATCCCACCTCTAATTAGGAAGGTGGCAGGTCACTGTATAGAAGAGCCTATGGGATAGGAGATAGAGATGTGGCTATCTTTATCCAAAGCTACTTGCCATACTTTGGTACTATGTATTATGCTGGTTATTCTTTATTTCCACTCCCAACCTCCCAGCTCCCAGCATCTACTCTTGGGGTGGATGACATCACCTGAGCCACTTGCCCAGGGCAGGTCACAAGCAGGAGATCCAAGAGCAGCAGAAGAGGAGCTCAGGGAATATACTATTTCTTCCTTGCTTTGGCACCACGTTTCTGGCAGGGGTACACTTCTACGGACATCTCTCTGTATATACAGCTCCTGTGGAAGTGGCCCCTTCGCTACAGGTCCAGTTCTCACTGGATTCCAGCAACACCATATCTATTTCTCTTCCCATTAAACTCTGGGTACTAATGGCTTTTTTGCCTCTGCAAGTTTCTAAGTACCTCAGTATCCCTTGTGTGTTCCTGAACCCTGCCCCAAATCCTGTAAGTAGTTCTTGCATTAAACATTCTTCATTTAAGTCATCGGAGAGAATTCTGATTCTTAACAGGGCCATGACTGATACAGGCACACAATAGGAACTCAATAGAGACAGTTCAGGGAACAAATATGAAAAATTAATAACCAAACTTCCAATATCTTCTACTAAGTATCTGATATAATTATTGAATACTACAATTATGTCCCTCCACTATGTCGGGATTGACAGAGATCCAATATATAGGAGCTGGATGTCTCAACAACTATATTCTTCTTTCGAAAGTAACCTTTTTTGCAAATGAGTGATTCTTTCAAAAGAACTGTTCAAATAAACATGCTCATTGTTATATTTGATTTACCACAGAACTATTTTCTATTATTGTATTGTTATAAAACCAGATCACCTCTTTCTTTCCAAAGTGTTTATAAACAAAATACTAAATAGTTCCATAGGCTTGATAGCTTTGCTGGAGATTGAAATTTTGCCTGCCTATACCTTCCAGAACTTCTTTTTGCCCATTATATTAAAAAAAGAATTTTTTTTTTTTAGTTTTGGTGCACCATGCTCATCTCCTCAAACATGCCTAGCAGTGATGAGGATAATTATATCTGTAGATCCCCTGTTTATCTTAGATGATACAGATCTTATTTTATGGTCCTGAATACCTTTTAAAAAGACCAATAACAATATCTATCATTTACCGAGTATCAGATAAGTACCCCACTGCTTTACTGTGACCTAGTTACCTTAGTTATGTTTCAGTTGCTCCTCCTTCTACACATTACAGTATTTAATAAAAATAAAGGCTAGTTATTTTAACATTTCCAAAAAAGAACTTTTTTCTTTTTTTTTAATATAGAGAAACCAGACTCTTTTCTCTAAATTTTTTGCAAGCCACACGTCATTTTGGCCCAGTCCTAACACTATTCTTACACTAACGTTATAATTTTTATCCTTTTTCTTTTTTCTGTTTTTGAATCATTGGTCATGTTCCCCTACCTTCCAACATCTATATTTACTCTTTTAAGTCAATATCCTCTGCATTCCCTATGGTCTCTTGAGATTTGGTATCATTTTCCTCTCACTAGATTACCTGAAAACTCTGAAAAATACTGTTTTGTTTCCCATCTCTCCTGATTTATATTGCCATTTAGAGTCTCTGTCACATCTTCCACCTGGACTCCAAGACTGAATCATGTCTCTCTTTTTTCCAAATACTCAGCACAGTATCTTACACAAAAAGATTTAACATGTATTTGCCATGCGCTTGTAAGGTATTGTGGGAAGAAAAGAATTAATAATAAGCCAAAGATTCTACTCTTTAAAAAGCTTCTGGAGGAGATTATGATATATATTCACAAATAATCTAAGGGAAGAAGGAATGACAAATGTAAGCTGAATATTAAAGTAGGGGATCTCAAAGTACTAAAGGGTAGCAATAGTATACTTTAGAAGTAATTGTTGAAAAGTATCCCAGGGTAAACTGGTCAGTGGGAGAGGTCTACAGAGGAGCTGGCTAAAACGGGAGTGGTAGAGAGAGCAGTCCAAATGGAGAGGACTTTCTTAAATCTGCTTGTCTAACTAACTGTGGTTAATGGTTGTAAAATTCAACTTATAAGCAGGCAGCTAACTTAAATTTTTTCCAAGTATTTTCAGACTCTAACCAACATTACATCTTTACCTTAATCTACGTGGCCAGTCTCTGTAAAAGTGGTTCTTAACATTTTTCTAAGGGTCCAACACATGTAGTTATAAAGCACTAACAGGTAGTGTGGATCCAGGTGTGTGGAGCTGAAGCTTACATCCTTTTTAAAAAGAATCCAAACTTAACAAAACAAAATTAGATAGAAAAACAAATGTCAATTTAGAATGGGAAAAGAAATCTCAACAACTCTTCTCCGGAGACTTGGAGATCTAGATTCCTTTCTTCTGAGATAGCTTTAGGCAATTTACCAGAAATGCTAACTTAGAAATGCTTCTGGTTGCAATCTGTCATTCCCTGCCCACCTAGAACATCTAGAATTCCCAGTAACTCTCAACATTTCCAGAGGCCTAAGCACATAAACATCTGAAGCTTCAATTTCATTAGCTTCATCTTAGATCTGCCTCTGACAACAGGGGCTAATTAAAACAATGATTCTTAAGAGGGGACTGGGACACTTAGAATCTGGGGAAAGAGAAAGCACGGGACTAGGTTAAAACAATCCTGGCTGATACACAACGGCCACTCCCAACCAACACTCTCCCTCCCCCAGGCTGGAAGTTTCACAATGCAGAGCCCTACACTAATATGCAAAGACTAATAGTATCTTAGAAGGCAATGTGAGGGATAGGCCAATTGTCCTCGATCTGAAAAAGTATGTGTGGAATATAAAACAGCAGTGTTAATTTTTTACAAGCGAACATAAAATAATTCCATTGTTTTACAATTTAAACACATTGAAAGGTCAAATCACTTTCTCAAGAGCACAAAACTGTTACTCTGTCTGAACATCTAGAATCCGATTGTGCCTACCATTCCATTTAATCCCAAAGGGAGAAAGGAGCTTTCATATTCCTCTTTGGGGTCAGAGTATGCTTGTTCAGTTTGTAACTTCAGTTCGCTCTCCCAGAGTATAGCAGTGCTTAGGAAGGTCGCTTTCCCTAACGCCTCAAGGTAACAGCTAACTACCGCACAGGCTTATTAATTAATACAGCAGCAACGTTAAGAAACTGGGTTGACATTTTAACAGCCCTGCAAGAAAGGTATTTTTCTTTTCCAAAAAGAAATTACAACCAGCGGTGTACAGGGACCACAAGTCTACCACTAACCTGAGTCCATTTCTCTCCAACTCTACTGCAAGTTAGGAGGGCCCTTTCGTCCTGATTTTCCCCGGGGAAAGGAAAAACGAAAGCGGCTGGCGGTGGGTTGGGAAGCGGTAGCTCACTGAAAAATCCTCAACTCCGCAGCGGAGGAGCTTCCTGTTGGACACACAGGACCCGTTTGCTCCTCAAGAGGGGACTCCCTTGCCACCTAGTCTCGCGGGCTTGCGGCTCACCTCCGGTGTCAGTCAGCCCAGTCTTAAACCCACAGTCAGTACCACTAAATCAGGAATAATTTCTCTCGACTAGGGTGATCTCTCTCCCAGAGTTCTGGGCTGGCTGCGCCCGAAAAGAAGCGGCCAGGGCGGGGGCACTCTCGGGCCACCGCCTCCCGGGTTCGGAAACTGTCCGGAGGAGGCGTCCGCGTCAGACAAGAACCGAGAAAGAGAAAAAAGGGGGGAAAAAATCACAACTTTGCCGACTCCACAAAGCGACGGCCGTGCCGAATGGAGGGTCAAAGTGCAGAGGAGGGCGCGGTTGCGGTTCGCGGCCCGGCCGGGACGCAGCCCGGGGTGCGGCGAGCCGCCTGGCGGGGTTGGGCGGCCGGGGAGACCCCACCCACCTCCAGCTCGGAGCCTCCGCCGGGGCCGGGCGAGCGCACTGGGGGCGGCCGCTGCGCCACGGTGCCAACTCCTGGAGTTGACTTGGAACTTTCTCGGGACGCGCCGCCGCCGCCCTCACCTTACTGAACACCTCCAGGTCGTCCTCGTCCTCGTCCAGATCCAGCACCTCGGCCTGCAGCAGGGCAGAGGAGCCGCTGCTGCCCAGGAGGGGGGCGTCGACCCCCGGGCTCTCCCCCGTGGCGCCCCCAGCCGGGAGGCCGGAGGAGCGCGCCTGAGATGCCAGGCGCTCGCCCTCCATCCCGGCAGTGCGCGCCCGGCCCGCCGCCGCTGCCAGCCCGGCTCCCCCGAGCGTGCCCATTGGCTCCCGCGCATCCTGCACCTCCCGGGCCGGCCCCGCTCCAGCCCCTCGCCCGCTGCGCAGACGCGGAACTGCCGGGGCCAGCGCCGGGCCGGCTCGTCCCCACCTGGCCTGGGGCCTGCCGGAGACGCGGGAGTGGGGCTCGCGGGCCCTGGCTAGGGTGGGGAAAGGGCCGCTGTCGGCTGGAGGAAAGCCGAGCACGCGAAGGTACGAGGAGGGCGTCCCCGCAATGCCCTGGCTCGGGGACTGCCGAGCGTGGGTTTCCGCGGCGGCGGGGGGTCTGGGCATAAGCGACAGAGCGAACCGTCAACTTCGGGGGATCCACAACGAGGCTGGAAGGCAGCCGACCCATCCTGCCGAGAGAAAAAGCCAGTACTGTATTTCCTGTATTTTAAATGGTTGTCTTTCTTCTTGGTTGTGGTTTTGGAGTCCGTCTTTTACTAAGGCTAATGCAAAAATAAAAGACCTGAAAAGCTCCCTCTGTTTTTGTAATTGATTTTTGACCCAGTGACCGGACTGTGTGGTCATCTCACTGTCAAGCCAGGGAAGTTGGATTTAAAAACTCTTTTCAGCCACTTTAAAATGTGCCTTTACTTCTGGAAGTCTTCCTGAAGTTAATGAGCAGGAACATTTCTAAGAGCCGAGGACAAAGAGCAGGACTGGACCTCGCCACCAAGAAATAATCTTCAATCTTTGCGCTGCCAATGCCAAGCTACAATTAGTTGTCACTGCTTAATATTAAAAAAAAAAAAAAAAAAAAATCTAAGTTCCAAAAAAAGGAAAATTGAACACAAATTGATATATTTGGGGACTATCTTCATGTTTTATTATTTAACTCCCCTCAGTCCCAGCCAGCTCTTTTCTCCATCGGCCCTGGAAAGAATGTCTAATAAGTTTGCACATAGGCAGGGAGGAGGCTACCTCAGAGACTTGACTCCCTGCAAAATATTTAACCCAATGTTCAGAGTTCTTAACTTAATGAAATTGAAAGATAGATAGATAGATATAAAATATTGGGGAAATAGAGCATTTCTCTACTTCTGATTAGAGGACATGGCCGTAATAATATGTTCCCTCTTAACCATTCAGATGTACCTCCCATTGCTTTCGGTTCACATATGCTCTTCCTAAGTCAGGCTGGTCAGCTGCCCTGTGAATATACAGTCTTCTTCCTACACTTTTTGGTTCCTGTATCCAGAATACCATCTCCTGATCATCCTTCAGGAATTATCTATAGTCCCATCTCTTTCTGGAAGACTTTCCAAGTCAACACCTCCTGTTCCCAATTTAGCATTTAATTTTATGCCATCTTATAGATTGTATTTATTTCATGTAAATGCCTTATATTTCTTAGCAAACTTTAACATTTAAAGGTTAGTGTTCACATTATTTATTAATAAGCCACAGTGTCAGATATACTCACTTAAAAAGGCTCTGTGCTAATGTCTAAAAGGAATACAAGTTATTAAAAGTCTATTTTTTTTTCCCTCTCTAAGCTCATTCTGGCTAGTGAGAGATTCAAGGGTTTCTAACTGCAACCTGAACCAGGAAATTCTTAAGGATACCGTGACTCACACAGTTGCCAGAAAGCATAGAGACAGGCTCAGAAAATGGGCAGAACAAACCGGGACTACGTAGCTTGGATCACAGCCAAAACCATGCCACAGAGCTAATGTGCAGACCTTGCAGCCGCCATTGCTGAACCCAGGATGCCGCTGACACTGATGTCACTGGACTCAGGGTGCTGTCACCAAGGGCCACATCACAGCAGCCTCTGAGAAGTACCTCTATTAGTGCCACAAAAATGCCCCACAGTCCTCTTTCTCGGTGTTAGTAATTCTAGTTGCAAAACCCTGGAGGAAAGATCTACTTGACCCACCTGGCCAAATCCCACAGAGGTTTCTAAGGCAAAGAATTTTCTAAACATAGAAAGGCCATATTGATGCTGGTCAGAAGATTAAAAAAGAAAAAATCCCTACCACTAGAATTCACTCCTTTGACTGCCTAAGATTAATATCATGTTTCTTCACATACTGTCTCCCCCTGACCTCCATTCCTGCTGTATAGTTCAGCTATGGCTCAAGCACTTGAGAATATAGTACTTAGCTCCCCAAAGGAAGAAAACCCAAACCTATTCATTACTGGGGCAGCTCCAAGTCTAACATGTCCATTCCTCCTGCAGTTCTACAATCCTGTTGATATTTTGCAACTTATGGACTAAATTTTTGAATTTAATTACCAAAATGCCAGGCCTGCTTATTCAATGGCATGAAAAATCCTAAACTGCCACATAACAGCCTAAGCTTACCATTAAGTGGGATCATCAGTGGGTTCTTTAATGGAAGAATTCTTATTTGGATACCAAAGCCTATAAACCAGCATGGCTCAAAATTTTAAGTACAGGTGTAATATTAAGAGGAGGCCTACCCAGTCTTGTCCCTTGGTTTCTGGGCTCTTTTTCTGATTATAGGAGAAATAGTATCATATATTAAATTTTGTTTCTGAGAACATACAACTTGTCAAAAACCTTCCTCTCTCTCACCCTTTCCAGTTGGGATCTCCTGAGACCATAACTGAGTCTTTAATGTTACATTCAGCCATCCATAAAGTTAGCTGTTTCTGGTAATGGGGTTCATGATACGACAGGTCACCTCTTGGGTATTGCCCAATGGCTTTGTTTCTTTTGCTGGAAGATGATTTAATTGATTAGAAAAAAAAATGTTATGTGTAAAATCTGATGGGAAAGCAACCAGTCGGTGAGTTCATGGATGATCATGTTGGGAGAAACTGAGCAGGAAAAGCAAACCCAATATATCTTTGCCATTAAGGACAAATCATGGCATCCTCCAGATGGGTATTAGGGGTGGACCAGAAGTAGCTGCTGCTGTGGCGAGATGAACACTTAGCCGTGGAAGAAGCCAGTTGTCCTTTAGTGTGTGGGAAATCCATGCTGTTAAGCTGGTGCATAGCATACATCATTCCCACCATCATGGCCATAGAAAAAGCATAGGAGTGCCTGGCAAAGGAATAGTATTAGCATCCACAGAACAAGAATTCTTATCAAACATACTATTTGATCATGTAAATTCATCAAATGGAGTTTTGGGAAAACATTGCCATGGGCTACAAATAGGCTTTTATTCTGGGACCATTCCAAGAGGCTACATACATTTTCTCAAACCTCCTTGACTTCTGGATCCCACCTTGTTCCTTCTAAGTCCCACCCAACAACCCTTCAGCCCGTGTCCTTGGAGCAATATAGAATCTTCATCCCAGCCTCTCTCCTTTAAAGCCTAGTGGACATTGTTATATACCATGGGGAGGATTTCTCTATTCCATCGTCCTTTTTCACAGCAGTACACCGATTCCAGAATATGATAAAGAACCATCTGCAACCCAGATCTGAAATTTTTACCCCTTAGTTAACTGTTCAAATGGAGTTCCCTGTGAGATCCTAACAGTATGCCTGTTGGTAGCAAGAGCCAAATGCTCATGCAATGTATGCTTTTAGGACTATTTTTATATATACCATTTCCACATGAGTATGGTTGGCTGAGGGCTTATCTAATTTTATGGTTTTTTGTTAGTATATTGTTAATAATTATTTTGTTAATAATTTCATGATGAGCTGCTCAGGTCACATAGTCACATGATGTCCCACGCTTAGGTATTTAGTATTTGTCAAAACCCCATAGCAAGCCAAGGGCTGGTTTCCTAAATGAAAAAAGAGGACATGTTTTGCCTTAAAACTTGATGTTTTTTATTCTCTTTCAGAACCTGTCACAGATTCCAGAGAGCATCCTGTTTCTACAGGCTCATCAATAATATTGTCAATAGTAGCTAATTGGTACCTCCTTTGAGTCTGACAATGTTATTAGTACATTATGTATGTTTACTCATTTAATTCTCAAAAACACCTTATGAGAGGTGCTATTATTAACATCCCCATTTTATAGATGAGGAAACTGATGAACAGAGAGGTTTAGTAACTTATCCAAGATAAGTAGTAAGTGGCAAATAATCTACAGCTCACTGAAAGACAGTGTTATGTATGTTGCCTTAAAAAAATAAAAAAGAGGAATTATAAGGATATTTTGGGATTCTTGGTTCTTGAGAGAATGAGACTAAACATTTCAGCTGACGCTCTGCGTGCCCCCAGGGTGGGGTGATAGGATTGGCCTCTATAATCTAAAAGTTTGAATTAAAGAATAATGGAAGGGAAAATTTGTAAAATATGCACTCAATAACAAAACTTTTCTCCATCAGCCTGGGCTCTGTGTGAGAAAGATATCTACTCCCCCCCCAAATCCTAACCATAGTTCAGGAAGTCACACTTCAAAAAATTCCAAGTGTCCCTGGGTTAATGATATATACCTGGAACCTCTGGCACAACCAAACACAAAATCTCTCTTCAAAACACTTCTGACAGAGTTTCTACAGATAAAACTCTACTGTAGATGAGATCAGTGTTAATCCATGAGATTAAAAATGTTCAAGGAAACCACCTACCATGTACCAGAATCACTATATAAAGCTATTAAAAGGATTAGAGCCTAGAGAACTTTAAGCAGTACACAAAAATATAAATTATTTAATAAATAAAAAGAATGAAAATAACTACAAGATGCTATAAAAATAGCTAAGAATTGAGAAATGAAAAATACAGTTATTGTGCTGATGGTTAATTTTTTGCCTCTTCACTCCATATCAACTCCTGTTGCCTGCTCCAGAATGATGGTGCTGGGCCTTGTCAATATTTCTGTTTTGCCACCTGGCATGATGTCAAGCCTTGTCAGTAGAGGGCCTGGAGGAGCACTGGAGGAGGAAGGATGTTCCTCTTCCTGTTTCTGGTATGCTATCTTATCAGTGTCCTGTGGAGAGCTATTTTTCCTCCTTTGTTCAGCCCCTACATAGTTTCTCTAGTGTAAGTTTCCTTCAGGGCA